ATTTTGTACAAACAAAATAAATATATTGAAAAATATAAAAACAATAAAAAATTATACTTCAGAAGTTAATTTAGTATCAAAAACGTAAAATATTTGAGTAGCCCAAGACATAGCCAAAGATTACAGCGCCACAGCACTGGCGAAAATTTAAATTCCCAATCGCCGACTGGAATTCTTTCGGATAATTGACGTTTCGGATAATCGACGCTCTACTGTATTTATTAATAGATTAGTATAATGGAGGAGATGGAATTTCAATTGTATGTGAAATTGTTTTCCACCTTAAAAAGAAGAAAAAATCTCTCCAAAAACTTTTTATCATTTACTGAAGAACTTTTTCTACAATAAAATTTCTCATAAAATCAGCATCTGAAAAAAAGATATTCCATACTTATTATTATTATTATCACTATTTAAATTCCTATTAGATTATTTTAAATTTTAATTCATGTCTTTAATCATGAAAATATAATTCCTAATATTTCTTTTCTACTATTGTCCATACGGAGATAATAATCCTTACCCTTCTTCTCTGAAAAAGATTTACACTGAAACAATTACGAATAACTGAACGTTAACTCGGAGAAAAGCTGATCTCCATGAGCTTCCGTACAAACTACGAGTAAGCAGGAACTTGGAATGTTAAGCGTATCACACTTAAACGACATTTAAGCTCAACAACAGAAGTCATCAATATTAATTAACTAGCCTACGACCAATCTTTCCAAACACAATCTGAAAAATAGTTTTCTAAATCAAATAGTTATAAATTTTATCGACATATTATCAAATATATTATCGTGTGTTTATTTTACCTTGTTCCGAGTTAATGCTAGAACCTATTTAAATTACTTTACAATAATCCATTAAAAAGATAAAAATTAGAAATAAAATCATTTTATAGATGTCTATTCAAAATTTCATGTAATTTAATGAGAAAATCAAATTATCTTCAAGTGTGCTTTTACTTAAACTTTCGCCACTTTCGTTTTTTAACGGATAGCACATCTTATTAAATGTTTTTATGCTCATCAGCAGTGGCAGATACAAGGGAAGGGCTACAGAGGATTAAGACTCTTTATCGACACAAAAAATTAAAATTTATATGTTCGAACTTCGAAACGTTCTTTTAAAAACATTTACAATAGCAAATACGGTTAATCAGATCATCCGCAATATAATCGTCGTGTGCGTGTTAATAAAAGGTACTTATTAATTATTCAAATATTTTTAATTTTTGAGTTGGCCCTTTCCTTTGAATAGGCCTAGCCTACTTCTGAATCCGCCGCAGCTAACCAGATTAGAATTTCTCGCAGAAAAATTCTAACTTTATGTTTAATATAACTTTATAATATAATTTTACTTTATCTTAGAAATACTTAAATGAAGAGAGAAATCGCATTTTAGATTAATTGCCATTCTACCAACAGATGAAATTTTAGAATAACAAAATTATTCTATAATTCCATCCGTTGATTATTATTGTACCAATTGCAGTTTGTATATTTTTGTACATTACCTAGTCAAACTAGTTTAGAGTTATGTAGAAATTTCTAAATTCAAATTTTTAAATAAACGCTATAATTACACTTCATATAGCAATTATATCGTTTAACTCAAGCACAGAAGAGTCCATTT